GGGGCATGCCCCCGGACCCCCCTAGACAAACCTCGCACCTGCGGCGCTCGGCTCGTGCCTTCGGCCCTCGTTTATCAAGCGAAACATTATAGGGGCGCATATTTGTTGACAGCCCACTGGCCCCCCCAGAAAAATAGTACCCAGCACGCCACTGGGTGGTCCTAAAGTAGGGTGGGGGAGGGGGGACTTGTACCTCATCATAACATACCAACAAGCTATTTTAGTTATCAGTAAATGTAAATTATGTTAGGAATAAGCAAAAGCAATGTTTCAATGTATTGAATTTATTTACAAAATAACCAATTTGATGTTAGCTAAATTAATGTGCAGTCCTTAATCTTTTTTTTTCATCTCTTTAATATTTGACAGTCATTTAATAATCAATATGTTCAAGGTTTAAGTTTCAAAGTGGGTTCCCAAACAGTTGATGCACCTGCCAATGATGATATCAAACCAAGGACACCTACGATACCGTTATTGATCTCAATTACACCAATAATATTAAGCGGTATTAGAAAATCTGCACAATTTTTCACAGTATCAACGAGAACCTCTGGCCGCGTCTTGAACTTCTCATACCAACATACTGCTTCAGACCCAGGGTCTTCATTTTTCTTGTCTGCAGCTCTAACCAAATTGTAGATGTCATACATGTTTCTTGTGACGCATAAAATTAAGGCGACACTCCAGATTTTTGCTTGGAATTTGGACCACGCTTTAGGGTTGGACTTGTAGATGCCTAGTCTGGTTGCCCACACAATTTGATCAACAAGAAAATACAGAACTCTTGTTAGCCGGGCAGACACAACCAACAACCTGAGTGCTGTGTCTTTTACACTTAAGTTTCGGAAAGCTCCTTGAAGCATGTCCAAGTATTTTCCAATACGGAACACTAGTAATAATAAGATAAAACAAGGGTTAAGATACGGTGGGACCTCATGGCGTATGTGGGACAAGTGCTGCCAGTTCTAGCAAACACTTCATGGTTTCTCCAGATAGTCTTGTTTCTTTAGGTAGTGATACTCCAATAATTAAGACATGGCCCTTACTCGACCTCTAGAGAGAACAGTTTAGAACTGGTGGAGTTGTCTAGTATAAAGTTAGTTGGTTACACACACTCACATTTTCTCGAAGTGCTGATGTGAACTTCCACAGTTTTTATTAATTTCACGGTGTCAGCTGTTGCGCCATGTTTTTGCAAAAGATAGCCAAGTAATTTAGTTGTATATTGGATGGTCCTGGAAAAATGGGGTTGAAGTATATAAGTTTATAGCAACCAAAAAGGTTTGAAGAACTCAGATTACCAGCTCAAAAAGTGGTCATATAAACTTGGCAACTTAAGTCCCCCCCCCAATATTTTGTGAGGTACCTGACACTGAACTGTGACAGTGTTGACACCTGGAGTATTGAAGCAATGGGTTTTGAATTTTATTTGTTGTTTTTGTAATCTTGACATATTGTTAATGGCAATTCACAGCAGTTTGACTAAATAGAAGTCCCTGTATAGCCAAGTAGTCCCCCCCCCCCCCTTAGATTTCAATTTCAATGTTATATAATTTGTGTATTTCTAAATTACTACAATCAACAAAAATCTATGATTGGTAATTTTTACATCATATTGATAAAATTATGAGAAAGGATGAGTTTCAGATATTAATTGCTTGTATCATATAATTTTAGAATATTTATGTTGACTGGCTGTATATAGCCAGGAACAAAGGTTCTCTATTGATCAATGATGTACAGTACAACACATAAGATATTTATTCTCACTTATATTTAAATTTTAAACCCTTGGAAATTCCTTAAAGTGAATGACAACACGTATATCTAATAGATAGCACTCAAATAGAATCAACATTGTACCCAAGTTGCTCACAAAACCTACTATGTTGGCACGTGTGACGTGTCGTATTTTGTTTACAGTTTACAAATATGCTGTTGTTTTTAGACCATTCCTTTTACAAAACGTGACCTCGCAAAACTACATAAGACCTGCCATTTTACATACCTACCTACATAGCTTATCACGACCGACGGTTTGAGAATTGTACTTCACGATCGGCGCAATTAGATCCATAATATGTGAGAAAATATAAAAATAATAAAGCACAACAAAATCGAGCAAAAAATAACAACAAAGACGAAATGACCTTTGACCAGAATAATTACTTCGATTTATATCCCTGTTGATCCCCGTTTACCCATTGTTGACCCCTTGTGATTAATATTACCCTGGTGTAGCCCTAATTTTATAGTTCTTTATTCATTTATTTATCTTTTGACATTTGCATAAACGCTAAAATATTAGCAAGTCAAAAGAATGAGTCAAATATTATGTTACGTGTAATGAAAGTAATTTATTTGGGCGAATGAGTCAATAAAAATAAATACATAAAATTCGATACAAAAATATTTTAAAAGTCCCCCCCCCCCGGTTTTGTTGCTAAGAGACGCATACGCCATTTCAGAAAAGAAATATGGCGGATTTTTTGAGAGTTTTCAAAAACATTGCAGATTTCTGACCAAATTTTAAAAGTGTTTCTCCACAATGGCTCGGAAATCTTTTAAAAAAGATTCAGTCCTGGATGAACACGAGATAGACGAGTCTTCCTATGATGCTAGTTTTGTGCTTGACCCGGCCAAACTCTTTGACGAATTGCCTCAGCCGTTTCGACTCATCGATAAAACGGTGAACTTCATCTTTGATAAAGCATGGGAGGCGATAAAAGAGCTTGAATTAAGAGCGAATGAACTTGGTTTAGGCGGAAAACTTCCGGTTTTTGACTGCGCAGAGGAAATGCAGGATTTTTGTCAAGCTACTTTAATGTGTACTAGTTTGGATGGAAAATTCGTGTTTCTTGTTGCAAAAAACGGTATTATTTATGCGCTGGATGCGGAGACGTCTTGTGCGGTTGCTTATAACGACGAGCTGCAAGGAATAAAAGTAGAAACGTTGTCTGCTGGCCATCTAGACGAGAACAAGCATTTGGTTTGTGTGTTGATGGAAAATGGTTAGTTATTCACCCCCATAAAAATATGCAATTGCAAAACATTCACCATGCTCTTATCCAGTTACAAGTGTAGCTCACCCAGAATACCTAAACCAAGCTTGCCATTTTTTAATGTTTTCACGGGGGGGGGGCAACTTGTACCCAGGGCCCGCCCACTTGATTTTTTTAAATTGGGCGGGCAGGCCCTGGGTATGAGGTGGGGTGATGGCCTCTCCTTAGTTCACTGGCTAGGAACATGGCAAGTGCTTTGTGATTGCAAATCATTGTTATAAAATCCTCTTTGCACAGGTACAGCGGCGACTTTTGCTCTATCTGGAAGTAACCTTCATCTTGTAAGAGTATTTAACGAGGACTTTGGAGTCAAAGGTTCTGTCACAAACTATATTGATGTCTCTTTTGATGGCAACTATCTTGCTGTTGGCTGGAGGAGTAAGTATATAGCAACCTATTATCACAGTTTTGAGACCATACAGAATCCGCCACACTGTACAATGATTCGATCATCAAAATGTACTCGCCATGTTCCTAGCCAGTGCATTCACCCTGCTGAACTTCTGCCATTTTCAGGGGGTGATGCCTCTCATAAGAGCCTAGTTAGAAACATGGCGGCAGCTATTTACGCCATGAAAATCATATTCAAAACCAAGAAGTCAGCCTTATGTAAGGGACTAACGTCTCTATTCTGTGGCTATTATGCACTTGCAGTTTACAGAAACTGTAAACGAAAACTATTGTTACTGATTTTATTTATTCAGTTCCATTAAAATCCAGTTGGTTGGAGATTTATAAAATTCCAAAAGAATTCTGGTGTAATGAAATAAATGTTATTGAAGAGAAGATGAGACAAGATCAGGTAAAATGAATGATTCCATAAATCCTGCAGATAGACCTTGCCTCGTATTTCCTTGTGCTGAGGTGGATTAGCGCTACCATCAGGGGGGTTATATTGCATTTCTTTCAGCAGGAAGCGAGCATCAAGGGAGAAGAAGAAACACCCAAAGTTGCCAGTGATTCGTTGGAAAATGACTCATCTGATTCAGAGGTAATAAGCAACTTTGTTCACCAGAAAAAGGCTATAATGTGACTGGTGATATGATTGGTGGTACAATTGGTGGTTTGATAACAATAGGGCTGTTGTTTGTTGTTGTTGTTGTTGTTGTTGTTGTTGTTGTTGTTGTTGTTGTTGTTGTTGTTGTTGTTGTTGTTGTTGTTGTTGTTGTTGTTGTTGTTGTTGTTGTTGTT